GCTTTCATTCATTTTCTCCCACAGCTTGCTTAAGAAAAAAAAAGACAACAGCTCATGTTACCAGCCTTAATGGATTTTGTAGATTTCCCACAGAAACAGCTTTTTGACCATTCTTGCTTTGACATAATGAAATAAAAAGCTTGTTTTCTCTATTTGTATGAGATTTTTCTATATTTTTGATGGTTTTTTTTTTCTTCTGGCAGATCTGTTAATATTTTAAGTGTGTCATAAACTGCCAGCTCAACTGAAGAGGAACAAGTGCTAAGGCTTGAACAGATCTCCTTTTCCCCCTCATGCCTACTAGTCATTGTAGTTAAAGGTTAAAAAATTGGCATTTAATTTTTCTTTAAAAAGTCTATATACTGAAAGTACTGACAAGACTCTGAGGAGGCAGAGGCAGTTTTTAGCTATTAATACTCTTCGTTATTTCCTTCTCTCGTGTTACTGATGTTCTCTGACAGTCTGTCACTACATATAATAAGAGGATGCGGACGTACACCACTTGGTTCTTCCTCATTTTCCTCTGATTGTGTTTATTTTGAAGTAAACTGATCCTACTCTGAAGAAATAACATTTTTTTCAGCTTTTAATTCATTCTGATAATGACGTTCAAAAATATGGATATCCTGTGATAATTCTTATGTGTAAATCCTTAATAGACTTTTGTTGGGATTTTTGTGTTTGTGGGTTTTGTTTTGTTTTTTAACATGTGGACTCTGGCTACAGTAAATCTCCTACAGCAAGTAGATTTGTTTACTTTTCAAGTCTATCCCTGGCCTGCGGTTTTAACTGCTGAATGGTGTTAAACCCAAACCTCTCCTCTTCTTTGGCTGCAGGAGTCTTTGTTCTTAGTTGGGGAGGGTACATTTTGTTCTTCCTCTGAAGGTTTTTGTTGTGCTCTGTGTGTGTGCGCCTTATCCTCGCCCCTTTTTTAGAAAAAGGCAGTCAGAGATTGACTTCAGTGAAAACAAAGAGCTGGACTCAGCAGAAACAAGCTGTGCCTGCGGGTGGCAGTTGGAAAAGGATTGGGTAGCTTCCTTGGACACCTCATTTTTTGGGACAGCTGGCCGGCAGCTTCTTGGCTTCTTCATATTCTTGGTGGTGCCGATTTTGTATGTGGTAAAAGCCACTCGCAGTGGAACAGCCTTAACTGGATTCCTCTTTTTCTGTAGAAGAGAATGAAACACTTTTGAAGCTGTCAGTGCAGTGTCCCCAGCCACAAAGTGATGAACCGTAGCCATCTTCTTGGTGGTTTTTATATTTATGGAAAGTCAAGGGCCACGTTGTTGCTTACTTATTCATGGACGTAATGCACAGAAGTCAGGAAGCATGGTTTTGCCCACAGTTGTCGTTGGCTCTGGGTGTACTTTCCCCCTTGGCTGTCTTGCTGGCTGGTGAGGAACAGGAGAAATGGAGTAGAGATCCTCTGTAAATGTCACGGTCCTCTGTGAGAGGCCACAGCTCACGTGGTTTTTAAAAAAGAAACATATATATCATCCTGCAAGTAGAGGGTAGTGATTGTGAATTGTGGTTTTTTGAGCAGAGTTGTTTCGAGTAACAATCAGGCAGGTTTCCTGAAGTACGTAAATACATCACGTGAACGTTTCAGAAATCTAAAATCCTCAAATTATAAATAGAGAAGTTTTCACGTGCGTTGCAAGTGTTGTCAACGTGCTGCGAGGGGTCTCATCCGTAATGTGGATGGGAGTGGGTTGGTTTGTGCCTCTCACAGGTTTTGTCCAGGTTTCTGATTCGATTACATGTGTGTTACTGAAAGAATAAACAAATATGACTTTTTTTTTTTGACAAAATAAACATGTTTCTCTTAAATCTTTCATTTCCTAAAGAAGAGGAGACAAAAGAGGCTCCCATGGCTGAAGGGGAGGAGGAGGAAGACAACGATGACGATGTTGAACCAATTGCGGAATTCAGATTTGTACCTAGCGACAAATCAGCCTGTAAGTGAAGAGGGAAATCATGTTTTAGCTTAAAATCCTGAATATATGTGGAAGACACTCCTTTAGTGTCCTTCTCCAATTATTTGATTTCTGTGTGCTGAAAAGAACAAAGCAAATTGTTTTACCTTGCTTGAAACTGGAATATTTCAAGCAGCCGCTTCTCAAGGAAGATTCCAATGCTATAAAATAGAGACTTTTAAGTATAAATACATGACACAGATAAGATTATCTGTATACATCTGCAGAGAACTTGTATGGGAAACATCTTTTGAATTACAAATTCAGCGATATTTGAGTCAGAGACAATTTCATTAGGAACATGCTAATGTCCAGATGCTACCACAGGAAAGCAGATGTATCCTGGCTATCGCAGAGCTTACAGTTGGATCCAAGTTTTAGGAATCTTATGTGTTAGATGCGGCAAGCAATCCCGTAGTGGGTAACCACAGACTGAATTGTCCAGAGTTATGCCATCAGTGAGAAATAATGGAAAAGTGCTGTTAAGAGGATAAAACCTGATTTGTTTCTTGCGTGGCTGCTGGGCTTGTTGGATGATGTTTTCAAATACGAATTGAGTGGTGGTTCTGGTAAAGGAATATTCTCAATCTCTTCGATCACTCAGTCGGGGATTTCTTGCCTGTTGTTGTGGGGTATTGGTGAAGAAACGAGGGAGGTTTGTGTTTGTTTGTGTTCCTGCAGTGGAAGCCATGTTTTCAGCCATGTGTGAGTGCCAAGCTCTGCACCCAGACCCAGACGATGAAGATTCAGACAACGATTACGAAGGGGACGAGTACGATGTTGAGGCCCATGGTTCGTAACAGTTGTTGCTTTTGAAATACCTCCAGCACTTGGATACCTGGAACTTCTCCTACAGTATCTGTCGTGAGAATGGTTTGGTCTGTTAAGTCCTTGTCACCTCCTCTAAATGTTCTTTATGCCATAGGCACAGTATAAAAACTCAGAAATCTCTAATTTAGCTGTCACAAATCACTGGAATTCAGCAAAAACATTGTTCTTATTCTGAAAAGCCCCCAGACACAAACAGCAGCCTTTCCTGTTCCCAGTGGATGTGCTCGCACAAGCTCAGTGCCCACGCTGCAGTGTGCTCAATTCACATCCCTGTGTACATTCTGTAACCGATGTAAATTTAAGCTCAGTCCGTTAATCTGAGCATAACTCAGCCGTCCTGTTCCTTCACCCCTGCTGGGTGCAGGCTCCTAAACTCAGGTCTGATAAACATCAACTTGTTTTTTGCAGAGCTAGGACAAAGTGACATCCCCACCTTTTACACGTATGAAGAAGGGTTGTCGCATTTAACTGCAGAAGGTCAGGCCACTCTGGAGCGGTTAGAAGGCATGTTAGCCCAGTCTGTCAGCAGTCAGTTCAACATGGCTGGAGTGAGAACAGAAGATTCGATAAGGGAGTACGAAGGTAAGAAATGCTTTTGTTTTACTGAAAAAAAATATGAAAGCAGGGGTTCTCCAGAATGGCTGATCCATAAACACCAGGACAGAGCAGGTCTCGTGCTGTGCGTGATACCGCACCGCAGTGTGTGCAGCAACAGTGGTTTTATTTGTGTTCAAAACCACACATTGTAAAAATGCCTGTGGTCCTGCCGTGGATTGAGGGCTGCTGTGTTACAGAATGAGGACCATTGAAGAATTCTTCATTCTTACTGGTATGATTTCCTGGAATAGTGGTGGGGTAAAGTTAATTTAGGATGAAAAAAAAATTGAATTTGTCAGTCTATGCTGGGATTAGGAAGCAATTTCCACTCTAACAAGGTAATAGTATTTTTCTTGAAAATACCCTAAATTGTAGGTTAATACTTCTCTTTACAGAGTTCAGTGTGAATTAGGAATCATTGAAATACACTGGAACACATTTTTTAAAAAAATCTTGCTTTTCTGACAGACTTTGTTTCTTAATGCTACTAATTTTTCAAACATGTATTTAAGGAGTAAGGGTTTCTTTTTGTCAGAAAAACCCCAATCTCTCAAATTTTGCCTTTTCTACATGCTGTTTTCACTGGAGCAGTATATTACCTGGGAGAAGAACAGGGAAGTAGTTTAGTAACATTGCTTCTTTTTTTTGATATAAAGCTCAGTGTTCTAGTGTGGCCTGACTTTTGAAAGATGAAAAATGATGGAGCTGTTGTGGATTTCTAGCTATCAGCTTGCCTAAAATAGCCAACAGAATAATAACTGATCTGTTCTGATCCACATGGATGATTTTTTTAATCTGTGTTTGCTTTGTCCGTTGTTTACAGGTTCTTTTTGTTCCACAACTTTGCATACATTTATATAATGTAAAGATAACCTTAGGGTGATTTACTTGTGTTTTAGCAGTGCCCGTCTTTTGAAAATTTTGTCAGGTTTCTGAATTCAAAAATTTTGAAAATGAAAATAAATTGAACAGCAAGTATGTCACATGTCTCAAAGCCATCTTCATCAGTTTTATTTGCCTTCCTAATCTTATTTGTTACAGTACTGCTTCTTGGTTTGCTACAATTAATATCTGCAGGGCTGCTCAGTTTCAGAATTCTGTTATTTTTTGACATTGTAGCATAGAGCAATTGTTCCTTTTTTCACTTTTATGATGGCCGAGAGCAGTTTCAGAGCAGGATTCAGCTGCTTTATGTTAGAACATAATTAAAGCTCATAATTTGTTACACTAAAACTTCACTTAAAAAATGAAATAGTTGAAATCCGGTATTTAAGTCTTTCAATAAGGTAGGATGAGACAAGGTTGTAGGAAGCAGTGACGTCTTTTAAGTGACCGACTGATGGAGCTGGAACAAAACCACCAACGTGTGAGCACCTCAGTTTCCTTCTGCCGCTTTCAGAAGTTCAGCAAAGGAGTTTTCTGCTCTGGCCATCTCTTGTCAACAGAGGGCACTCGCTTTCTTTCCTGTGATAACATCATCCTATTTGGTTTTTTTCAGATGGGATGGAGGTGGACATAGCACCAGTAGTTGCGGGGCAGTTTGAAGACGCAGAGGTTGATCACTGAGAAGGACGCACGCTGCTGTAAGTTCCTCTGTCTTCCAACACCAGTGCTTTTCAGTAATTTGTGTAATGCACGTGATTCCAGATCTCCTACAGGAAGTATCTTGTGATATCAGGATGATGGTGATGTAGAGAAAGAAAAGGTAGCTGTAGTTATCACGAGTATGGAAAGATGTTTGATAATTTGTCCAAAAAAAAAAATCACACTGCATAGATGTGCCTGTCTGGCATGTTTGGTAAATTCAGAATTGTCTGATCTCAAAGGCTCTTAGATCCTGATCTATGAACGCTGGAACCACTCCTGGGAAGTTACTGTCATAGATTCATAGAATCATTAAGGTTGGAAAAGACCTTAAGGATCATCAAGTCCAACCCAACCCCACCCAACCCACTAACCCATGTCCCCAAGCACCACATCCACATGTTTCTTGACCCCCTCCGGGGATGGTGACTCCACCACTTCCCTGGGCAGCCTGTTCCAATGCCTGAGCACTCTTTCAGTGAAGAATTTTTTTCTAATATCCAGCCTTACACCCTTAGTGTGCAAGATTTCCCAGGCCTTTCAAGGGGGCAGAACACCTCACAGTGCTGCAAGTCCATCTCTTCATAAGTGGAGCAGGAACAATTCCCGGTAAAGTTCCCGAGCAATTGGGATGGGATCGTTGCAAGAAGTGCACAACTTAGGGACAACACCGTGCTTAGGTGGTTGTGCCAGCGTGCCCTCTTGCCCACCATCACCTGTACTGCTTTTCTCCCGTCAGTGGCAGTACAAGATGTGCTGGTGTTTCCTCACCATTGCTGGGTGGGAGAGGAAGAGCAGCTTATTCTGGGACTGTGGTTGCGGAGACGCACGGGCACAACGGGGTTGTGGTTCCACCCCTGCTTGAGCAGTGCTCGCTAGTGCACAGTTTGCACGTGCTGCTCTGCGTTATCCCAGTTTTTCTTCCTCACTGTGAGACGCTGCCAGCTCTGAGCACAGAACTATTCCACCAGAAATGCTGGAGAAAAAAACAGTTGTGGGACAGACAGCCAAAAGCTTGGGGGAGAAAAAAGGAAAGGGGTAGAGCAGGCAAGGGCCACAAATAGAAAGATATCACACTGGAAAAAATCAGTGGAAATGGGTGAGGAGTAGTTGGTTGGGGATTATAGTGTTGCTGAGAAAGAGGCTGCTGTCCCTGAGGAAAGCTGTTGCAGAGGGGTGATGCGCAGCTGCTTTCTTCCTCTGTTGCTTTTATTTTTTGTTGCTCTTAATGCTGCTGCAGTTCTGAAAGTCTGAGTAGCCCTGTGTTAGACCTGTGTTCACTTACTGATCTTAACCACTGCCGCCGGTACTGAATTAGTATTTCTTGTTTGGAGTTAGAGCTCAAACTTTCCTTCAGTTGCACTTCCTACGCTGGGAAAGACTTTGCAGTACAGAGAGGAGTTCTTCCAAAAAAGGTCAAGATACTGGTTGCCCTGCCACTGGACGGTTATGTTATTTGGTAAAGGACACATTTTAAAATTAAGGAAAACTCTTCAGCTGTAGATGAAGTGCCTCTTAGTGAGTGGCTTGGCTCTGATGACTCCATCTCCAAGATTATTTTAGTCCATGGTTAATAAAAAAAAAAAGTGTTGTTGCAAATTCATATTAGAATGCTCATTGTCCTGGTTTAAACTTGAGCAGGATTAGGGAGAGCTAGTGGCCGGTAGCAGATCTCTATGGAGCCTGGAAATGCTGGTGGAAGTGGTGTTGACTGATGCTCCAGCGAAGTGCAAAATACACCCTGTAAGAAGTAGTTTTGGTCAGCAGAATTCTCTTTGCTGCTTACTACATGCCTTCCATGGTGTGGCAGGTGGCTGTGGGAGATGTATGCTGTGAGAGGTGACAGGACAGGGAGTCCTTCTGTCCTTCCGCTTGTGCAGATCAGCTGAGGAGCTGATCCCTGTCAGGGCAGATCCAGTGACCCGTCTGTGCAGCGTCAAGCATTGCAATGATGTTGCTCCAGGTAGCAGTTTAGGAGCTCTGCGTGGAGCAGCGCAGCCCTTTCAACTTTCTGAACTGTAAAAACAACCTACAGGAACATCCTGTTGGTGATCCTTTAGAGAGCAACGTGCTGCCCTGCCTCTAAAGCTGTGCCCCTGTGGGACCCTCATGTGGCATGTTTCTGCTTGTTACTCAAATGAGATGTGACACTCGCCTGCTGAAGCTCCTGGAGGACTTGCTGACAGTCCATGTGGGACATTTCCACTGGTCTTGTAATAAGCGGTGCTTTGTCTGTCACATCACGAGGTTACAGGAATTGTTCTGAAGCAACTGGTCTGTGTGTGTGGCAGTGCAGTGGGGTCTTCCAGGGCGGAGTGTCAGTGCATGCTGTCCTTAGCTGACCCGAGTTCAGAGCTGCTCTGAGAGTCAAACTCAGCCCTTCTGAAAATTAGCGAGTTTGCAGTAAAGCGCTGTCCTCTGTGCCTGCAAACAACGGATAGCTACTGCTTTGTGAAGATGAATAATCTTTTGTTTTAATGCCAATTATATAAACTTGGTGTCTTGTATCTTTCAGATTCCTCTTGTGGCGCTTCCAGAATAAGCTGTAAAACCGAAGGCATTGCAGTGACTATCGGGAGTTAACATTTCTTTTAATGACCCAAGCTTAGACGTCTAGGTCTATCAATGCTTTTATAGATGTTTAAACAGGGTTTGACATTTGTGACCACTATGGGGTTATTTAGAAAAGACAAAACAAATAAAAAACAATAAAACCTCTTGCATCTAACACTTGAATGAGGCTAATCAGGGGTCATGTCAAAGAAGCCTTTGTAGGAATTCTAGGACTTCAGAAATGAAACTGTAAGTAGAAGAGAATTTTAGATTGTCCTAGAATTTTCCATATTTTTATACCTGTTCATTGAGTGGGTGGAGTAGAATGGAAATAAAAATGTTACAAAATTTGACTAAAAGGAAATAGGGTTGGCCAAGGATTAAAAGCAAAGCTAAATTTAATGGCCCTCAAGTAACTGGCTTTATGAGTTCAGTCCTATCCCTTTCATTTCCCTGACAGGAGAGTTTGGGTGGTAGAGGAGATGGAATAAAGTCTGTAAAGTCCTGAAAAAGAGAACTGTTTTGTGTCTTTGTATTAAATGTTAACAACATTGTTAAATAAACTAAGATTTTTGTATCTCACAACCAACTCTGTGTTGCAGTTCTCAGTCCTTCAGCAAGTGGCTGGCAACTCTGAGCTGACAGCTGAGTTTTAGCACTCTTCTGTAACAAAAAGTCTAGTGAAACCATTTTCATTATTTACCGAGATGTGAGAATAAAAGGGCAGAACATTTGCAGACTGTGCCTGTAAGACAGAATTAGTCTGACACATCGCAAACTTAGGAACCCAGCTTTACATTGCCAAGAGCTTAGTCCTGCTGGAGCATTTACTGTTCCATCTCTCTGCTTGGTGGTGTTTTTGCCATGGGGCAACGTCAGCAAATTCAAGGTTTTTTTTTCCCCTGGTATTCAAATGAAAGTCTGATACTAAACTTTTTCCCTTTTAATTTGATTTGAAGTTGACTTGTGATTTTTTTTTTTCCAATATTTTTATGCTGGTATATGAAACCAGCCTTACGCTCTTGGAATTATAAGAGTGGTCCTACCCTGCTTAGCATGTTGGGATGTGGTTTGGTTTCAAGGTGTCTGAAAATTCTCACCACACTTTGTTGAATATTCATTAGGAATCCCAGTCAAATTAGTTATCACAGAATGGTTTGGGCTGGAAGGGACCTTAGAGATAGAGTTCCCCGCCATGGGCAGGGACACCTCCCACTAGCCCAGGTTGCTCAAAGCCTCCATCCAACCTTGATGATTTAACAGTGTTGTGAATTATTGACATTGCTGAATAAATCAGGTATTTAGCATGTTAATGCCACAAGACATTCTACAGGCATGTCTTTAGGATCCCTTTACATACATACGTATGTATATTATGTATATTTATGTAAATGTATGCATGGTTTTGTTAGGGATACAGTGTAACAAAGGAGGGTAGAGAGTGATGCTTTAATTTTTGCACTGGGATTTGGAGAATCCATGGTGAGATTTTGGGACCCTACCAGCACCATAGTTTAGGAAAGAAGGCTCATACAATTCTAAATCAACATTCATCGTTACAACAGACTTGGGGTTGGTTTTGGGGGGGGTTTTTTGTGTGAATCTTAGCTGTTGGAGTGTGGTCTTTCTATAGTTTTTCATATTAAACTTAAACTTTACATATCCTGGCAGATGGGCGCAGTTAACCTACAGGGCAGCTGCACTATACGCAGCTCCTCAGTACTTCCGCGCCATGTCCAAGTAGTAGGAAACTCCACAGAGGAGAATTTGTTTTGTACTAACACGGAGCTCCAGGAGCAGACATCTTCTAGTGCCTCCACAGGGGAGAATTTGTTTTGTACTAACGCGGAGCTCCAGGAGCAGACATCTTCTAGTGCCCCCAGTCAAAGCAATGGTGCGAGATTAATTTCAGTGAGGTGGAAACAAACCTGGATGAGTCCTGAAGGTGGCATTGAGAAGTGTCTTGTGTGGATTGACATGCTTTATTTTCAAGAAAACTTTGCATTTAAGCTATGTGTAAGTGTTCTGGGAACACTTATACTTCATAAGCATTCTTTACTTTGAATGTAAAATAAGAATTTTTGTCTGTACCACCAAATATAGTTCAATTCCTCAGTTCCTAACTTATTTTTCATTCTTTCTGCTACTTTTTGGTTTTTAGCTTTTGTTTTTGCCTTAGTCTAGTCAATTTAAGGCTTGTCTGTTTCTTAGTGGTTTTGATTTTTATTTTATATTCTACTTCTAGTGGCTTATAAATAGAGCAACTACTTGTTAATCACCCAGGTTATGCCAAAATAAACAATGCAGTCATTGTCAGATCTGACCTCTTTGCTTTATGGACTTTGCTTTTGCAGGCTGTCGAAAATGACGTGGAAGTAGGGCCTCCTTTAATCTAACAAACCTTGGCTGCCTGCAGGTTTGTATCTCTGCCTTCTCCCTGGCCACCTGTTTTTATGCTCTTTGAGGTTTTTGAGACCTCTGTCCTGTGGGCCTCATGGGCTCAAAGGAGACATGCAAATCAGCTTATTACATAATGCTCAAGAAAGAGGCTAAAAACTAGACTTCAGTACACCAGTAAAGGCAAAGCCCCAGAGAGGGGAAAAAAAAAAAAATTAAGGTGTGGATCACTTCAAAAATTGGTATTAGGGATAAAAAGCAGTAAAGCAAGAAGGTGACAGGTAGCAGCCTCCCAAAGCATCTGCTCAGAAGCAGTTCGTGGTATAGAAGTTTGTTTTTCAGAGGTCTCATGCATCAGCTCCCAAAGCATCTGCTCAGAAGCAGTACGTGGTATAAAAGTTTGTTTTTCAGAGGTCTCATGCATCAGGTTTCTGTTCTAGCAGCCCTCCGTGTCTGAGTTATAAATAAGCAGATGAATGTAAACAAAGCTAAAGGATTGCATCTTACCAGGCTCCCAGGGTGGTGGTGTGTAGTCCTTGCCCTGAAGAGTTTTACCAAAAGTATGCTTGCGTTAGTAGGTCTACTCGCACTAGTATCAAAGAGCTGCTGAATGATAACCCAGCAGTTCCGATTCTCTTCAGTGGATTAGCAGGCTCCTTTTTTATTATTTTAATGACTGAATACAGGGTCGTAGATAAGACTCTTTTCTATGAAAAGCACGTTTAAACAGTTGATGTCATTTTGGAATATAATCTTAAATGTACTTTGGAAAATTAAAACAAGAAAATGTTTTATTGCAACAAGTAAGAAATTACATTAAAATATTTACTTCCCGAACTCTTGCAAATAAAGATAGCTGACAACAGTAGCTGCTTCAGACTTGGTTCATGATTTTACTGTGTAAAAAAAAAAACCAAAACCCAACCCCTATGTGATTCCCTCCCTTTCTCTTAGAAGATGGTCTGCAAGGTGATTTGGGTAATGAGTCAGGGGGCCTACTACTGGGATCCTTGCAGAACTTGTTAACCATCTCTGCTTTCAAACCTAGTAACTCTAAAGTGAAAAACTGAATTTAGTCTTAAATTTGAAAATATATAAAAATTAAGATGTATCCAGAAGAAGAAACCTCATTCTAGAAACAGGTTCCAGTCTTATGAACTTCCATCAGTGGTGTTCTCCTCAGCTGAGGTTACAAAGCGTGCGTTTGTGCCAGCTTGGGTATGTAGCTTTCCTGTGGTTTTAGCTCTTTTATTTATTCTATTATATTACAAATTCATTTATTTCAAGAAAAATATCTGATAAGAGTTACATAAAATCAAGGACTAATCAAGTTCCACATGATTCTTCCCTAATACTGTGTGTAGCAATATTTTTTTGCTGAAAATGCCCTTTTGTGTGTGTCTGCAGAATTTTACTGGTACTTTATTACCACTCTTCCCAACTAAGATAAACATTCAACAGACTATAGCGGGACAGGATGGGGCAGCGCCTTCCCGAAAGGAAGCGAGGGTTTACTTACCTGCACTCAGGTATTACTAAAACAACGCTGGTCCTACAGACTTTTAATTTTGGTGTAGGGTACCTCTAGAACAGCGCTGTGGAGGCTCTTCTAGGGAGCAGTGTAGCCTTTCTTCCTCTCAGAGGTACATAAATTGCAAGTAGGAATGTGATGAGGTCACTACAGGAATGAAATCTTCAGCTCCTTTTTTGCAGGTGCCTTCTATGGGAAGAAATCCAATAAAATCTCCCCTGGAAAGGACTGGGTATTTCTCTAAAATTAGTTTTGCATGTTGTTGTAATAAAGGTCAGCCAATGGCACTTACGGTTAAAGTGACAAAGTTTCAGTGTTTTAACAGTCCTTCACATTCATATGGCTTAACTGAAAATGGGGGCAGATATTCTCAAAATCCCAATATGCTATTACAAAATAAGTATTTGAATACAAAGTTGTAAGTCAAATACTTCAAACATGAAATCTGAAAATACAACTGCAAGGTGGCGTGGAAGTCAATGTCAAGAGTTTTCTGAAAGCTTCTTGTCTGCAGGTGTTGAAAGTATTTTTCAGTGTAGTACCAGTCGATTTCAGGATTTGATGTCTCAGTATATCCGAGGAAGGATTTCATCCCATATAAAAGCCACAAGTATTGTACCTGAAAAGAGAAATTACAGAAAAGACCTTTATTGAAATGTATTTGAGAAGGATACAGTATTGGTATTGAAAAGAAAGATTATGGTCAAGTACTTGCATGTCTAACATGCAATACAGCAGGGACTGCAGGAAATGGAATTTTCTGTCCAAAAGGCTAGATGCAGTCATCACTTCTTGCAAACACAATCTTTTCCACAAAGAAAGCTTTAACAGACCGTGCATGTGACCCTTATGAGTTGATAATGTAATTCTTCTTCGGATATTTCATGTTTTAATTCTGATCAGTTGGAAAGGATCCATATGGATCACTGAATCCAAAGGGCACCTATAGTTTAAGACCTTTTTGGTTTTTTTCTCCTGGAAAAAATCAGTATATTCTGTTTCAGAAATGAAGAGGATTCTGGTTGACAGTGTTCCTCACCCATAGCTTGTATTCTGTAAGACTTTGTAGATCACAAAAATGTTTATTGGAAGAGATTATCTCTAGTCCAGTCTCCCACTCAGAGCAGGACTATTGCCTGCACTAGACAGCTCAGTGTGGCTTTGTCTAGCTGAGTCCCGAAAACCTCAATGGATGGAGACTGTGGCACTTCTCCAGGTAACATGTTTCAGTGTTGCTGCACCTCTGAAGGTCTTTCTGGAGTCCAATCTGAACCTCTCACTCCACAACTTCTCACCTTGCTGTTACATTGTCTGCCAATGAGAACCCTTAAGCTCTGCCATCCTTGTAACTACTTTTCAAATAACAGTTGACTG